TTCTGTCGTGTATTGTGTATATGTGCATAGGTTAGGTTTTAAGTGAACATATTGTATGTCAAGTTGTCATTTATGATATCATGCTTACAGAGTACTACCCGGTAGTATTAAATGGAGAAAATCTGGTAGGTATTTCCCCATACCTCTAATCCATATGTGAGGCTAAGTGTGACTGCAGGTAGGTATTTCCCCATACCTCTAATCCATATGTGAGGCTAAGTGTGTCTGCTGGTAGGTATTTCCCCATACCTCTAATCCATATGTGAGGCTAAGTGTGTCTGCTGGTAGGTATTTCCCCATACCTCTAATCCATATGTGAGGCTAAGTGTGACTGCTGGTAGGTATTTCCCCATACCTCTAATCCATATGTGAGGCTAAGTGTGACTGCAGGTAGGTATTTCCCCATACCTCTAATCCATATGTAAGGCTGAATCAAGGATTTACAGAGTAATAAAATATTATGCTGCGGTCTAAGTTTTAATAACATGCCATTTTTTTCTATCATCCGATAAGACCATGGATATGATGAGACCCTATGCCTGATTGTTGAACCCTACTTATATAATGAGATCATAGATATGTAACTGACTCTCCATCTCAGGTTGGTGATCGAGTCATCTCCATAAGATTAGATCATGGTGAGTACCCATCCATAATTGTTAAGCCTTCCCAATATGATGAGACCATGGATATATCAAGTCCCAAAATAAAGAATACGTGTAGTACATATACTTACTCTAAAGCTCGCAGATCTTTTATTTCTCTGTCTAACGAAATTTTGTCGCTGATGTATTGATTAAAGGAGTATTCACGAATTCCTTTATCCACCATTTGTTTTTCTGATTGTTCAAATTTCACAGCGACACCTTTTTCGCCAAGGCCATCAAGCTTTAGTACGGGTTGTGGTTCATAGTTTCCATGTGTGTCTCTCAGCACAGCGCCCTCTAGAAGTAGTGGTGGACTATACGAGCCATTCCTCTTTGTAGGTTGCATTGCATCATGGGAATCTGTTATTTGGTTAGTAATTTCTCCTGGATGAAAATTGGAAGAATCCTGAAAACAATAAAATTAACACTTGAGACAATTTTTAATATACCGTACCTTGTAAAAATGAAAAACTAGAGAGCAGTCTAGTGAGACGTATTATTTTCACTAGTATTTCCAAACGATGATAATTAAAACTTCTCAGAGTGGTCTGATATTCTCAGTGTTTAATGAAGAGAATCTCAATTTTCCCAATTTGTTGGTGAGAATTAACATCTCAAAACAGACTTACGGGAATTCTGATTCTCACCAGTTTTCTACAAACTGTTGTTACAATGTATTCTTAGTGACAACTTATTTTGTTTTTAACCATGAGGGCGCTGTTTATATATAGCTACAATGTAAGTGACTGCAAAATTAAAAACGTGGAAAATCAAAGTCAATCCATTGGGTTTTTGTGGTATGGTCTACAAACTTTAGTTACTTATGAATCTTTGGAATGTACAAATTGCATGATCCAATTTTAGTGCCATTGATATTTTTATATCTTAAGAAGTAATTAAGATGAACGAGGATACCGCACAGTGCAGCAGAAGTACTGATAGCCATGCAGTGGAGGTAGATGCAACCATGTACTGTCTGAGAGCATACTTTGCGGTATCCTCGTAATAACCTTATTATTATACATCTTTTCCTCCTAAGAATACATCATGGGAATGCCAACATTCAAAAAATGCAGAAGTGAAATTTAAAATGAAGTACCCTGGGGCTGCCATGTTTGTTTTTATTTTTAGAGGACGCTTACGCACATAATCGTACTGTATTTGGAATTCGCACTTCTTGTATATTACAGTGACAGATGTATAATAATGACCTGTTATGACTACAACTTGCTTGTTGATTTGTCATCCTAAGAGTTGTGTTGACTTCCAGTAAAAACATAAAATGCATGTAGACATAACTACTGTGTAAAAATATGCCTGTACTAAAATACAACATTCAAAATAAATTTGATATCACAGTGCTAACTGCATAGGAATGAAGATCCCAGTACATGACAACTGACAGCAAATAAGATTGCCTAAATTATAAATTTTTTTTTTTGCTGGTATAAACATGAACAAGCCAATGCGAGCAGGCATTCAATCAAGGCTGAAATACAAAAATACCCTTCAAAATGAGCATTTGTTATCATCAGGATATCTGTGATGGATCAACGCTACTGTTGAGTAAGAGTATCTGATTGACACTGGTCGAAGGCGCTGTTGTGACCATAATCACTTGTAACCAGCCCCATGTACATTATATCAACCTCATGTACATTAAAACAGGGGTTGTATATAGTGCACAGGTCTGGGGTGTTTCCTGTCGAGTGATGTATGTTACTGACGTATTATGGGTTTGTCAGTTCTGCAAATGATCACAAAGCCAGAGTTATATATAGATTCCAGATGTGTGGAGGAAGGCAATATGGTGTACTGACAAGGGATGATAGAGACTTTTATAATGATGTGTGTTTGCTTGCATTCTTGATAACATATTCAATATCATTTTTACATGTATTGAATAAAAGTTAGTGGGAAAAAGAAATATTGCGTATTCAGACTTAATGCATCTTTGCCAATCAAGGTTCATTATTTTGGTTATTACCGATAATGTTAAAGCACTATTTCATGAAAAATTTAAAGTGATTTATCATCAGAATTTCCTAACAATTACAGACAACCACAAGTACCAATTTTATAAATACATATGATTTTTTCACTACCCCGGTAATCGTAACCAAACAAAATGGGAGATAGGTTGAGAACTTTTTACTGAAATTTACTTATACACCTGACACTGGAAATAATACAATTTATTTCATCCAAAAAATGCGGTACAGATGTGTTCGAAAGTGTTAGAGATGCATTAGAATGTCTTCCTTATTTGGAAATTGTTCAGGTAGTATCATGTTTACACCACATTATACACTCTCCTCTGTTGACATCGGATGCAGAAGCATATTAGGACATGATCGACATAAATGGAATCACTCAACGCAAACCTTTGCACAGCACAAAAGATTTTGTGTATAACCTTATATACACCTTTTCTAGACTAAAAAAACAGAGCAGTGTAAAGTTGTGTTTATACAGTTTTGGGTTTGAGTCTGACAGCACTCGTATACATAACATTGAAAACAGCCTTGGCTTCACCTGCATCACTCGCAATTTGCAACATCTCAATGTACTGGGACGTGAAGGATTACCAAGAATCTGAACCTGAATTGTGCTGTGGTAGCATTTACTAATTTGTATATAAAAAAATGTCGACAGTAGTTATCAACAAGTTCTGCCAAGGCAGCATTTCATTACTACATATTATTATATTAGTTTCTGAAGATGACGTGATGTGACTTGACAAATACTTTTGCTAGCCAGTTTTTAATAGGTTACATGAAAGCTTAAGAGAGTGGTCACAGCCTTTCGTATGGTCTGATCTGGTACCATCTGAATGGAGTCAATGAAGTATGTATACGCATGTGGTGAGTTTGGTTATGCAAATTTGGAACACATCACTGATGGTACCTGTTGGTGAACTAGCTCTGAAAGCAAAAGTGATATTTTAACTGTTCTTTTTTTTCTATAAAGTGAAATACAGTTATTACAAAAATACCAGATTTTCGGCTCTCGTACATAGTACGTTTTGGCATATATGCTCACTGAATATTTAGTTTGTGTTTTCATTGATCAGGCGCTGAGAGTACAGTACAATAACGAAAATTATTGTAGTGCTCAGGGCCATGTTACGGAGCTAGGCATATAATATAAGGTTATTACGAAGATACCTCAAAGTATGCAGTACAGTGGGAGTATGCGATGCGAAGGCGTACTGTCAATCATTCCACATTTGGAATTCGCATTTTCTTATATGGTAGGATGAAAATACCCTGTAAAATATCGCAAAATTACGGCACGCTGTAACTTATGTCATTACGAAGACAGATGTATAATAATACGTATTATTATACCTCATTTGTATTTGCACATTGATATATTTGCATATTAACTTTCAAGAGCCAAATTCATATTCTGAGTTTGCGCAGACATGATGTAATTCTAAAAATGGCTGCTTTTCATCTAGTTGAAATTTGTCTAAGTTCTCAATGCATGAAAACAGATCAAACTACTGTAACATGGTGTGCTTAAAAGGTATGGTATACTTGGGTGGGGTTGTCTTCTATATGAATATTCATAACATGACCATATCAGTCAGAAATCGCTGCACTGTATAATTTGCTATAGCATTGAAACTTGAATTTCACATATGGCATTCCAGATTTATAATTGCCTGATATCACATAATTTGATGTTTATGCTTCAATTTATTTCAACAAGGTAATTTTATGACCACATGTGTATCACACATTGATGTAGGTTTCATTGCATTGTTCATCAAACCAGAAATGTACAGCTGTATTGGATTTCATTTAGGTTTGCATGAGTGACCTCAGGGCAGTGTACTGTTTTTTATTTGTGTGCACCACATCATGTGAAAACAAGGCTCCTGTAATATCAGACGGTCACTCGTAGCTTGTTTATACCTTTCAACAAGCAGACTGTCAGCAGATATACTGTAGAATCTTTTATTTTAGCTAGAATTTATTTTCGCTGAAAATACTTTTTGGATATTTTGTATGGAATTTACTTTCACTGATTTTATATGAATTGAATGTAAAATATAGGAAAAAGGTATATTCGCTGGATTTTATTTTCACGGAATCATTCCTTCAGCGAAAATAGCGAAAATTAATTCCAAGCGAAAATAAAGTATTTTACAGTAGCTACACTGATGTACATTTTGCAAGCAATCTGTACTACAGCGTAACAGAGAAGCCTGCCTCTGTGCAGAGTGAATTAAAGGCAGGAGATTTGATGAAGGACATATTACCACAATATTGCATATTATTAGAAATCTGTCACCGTAACGCCATACGTGTGCCATGTTTTTGCGGTATTGCACTGGGTATTTTCATCCTATCATATTAGGAAAAGCGAATTCTAAATGTGGAATGATTATGCGCATAAGCGTTCTCTAATAATAAAAAACAAACATGACTGGACCCCACACTAAACTGTTTTGGATTTCGACATTCCCATGACATAATCCTGAGTGAAAAAGATGTATAACAATAAGGTTATTACGAGGATACCGCAAAATATGCACTCGGACAGTATGCGGTTGCATCGACCTCCGCTGCGTGTTGGTCGATCCTCTAGCTGTACTGTCTTCAAGCATATTTGCAGTATTCTCGAAATAACCTCATAGTATTGAATCATTGACCATAAATGTGTGAGATGAACAAAGTGAAAACCATCCCATCAAAAGTACTGAAGTTGATAATATCATTTTTTACTAAAACCAACAAAATTAGAGAATATAATCATTAGAGAATGAACAAATCTGAGAGATGTCATCTGAAGTACCTATATATCAATCAATCAGATTGTCAGATCACTGTATATCTCTAATGATATGTACATAGCATGCATAAGTTTTTGTCATCATCATTTTCAACACTAAAACAACAATTAACAAACACTGCATGGAGCATATCTTCAACCGATATTTGCCCATAAATAGAATGGTACTGTAGAATAATTTATTTTCGCTTGGAATTTATTTTCGCTGACGGAATGATTCAGTGAAAATAAAATCCAGCGAATATACTTTTTTTCTTATATTTCACATTCAACTCATCAAAAATCAGTGAAAATAAATTCCATACAAAACAACCAAAAAGCCTTTTCAGCGAAAATTAATTCCAGTTAAAATAAAATATTTTACAGTACACAAAATTGACAAATTATTGGCCATTATTTTAAAATAGTCAGTACACTGAGTGCACTCTACTAAATGGAAACATGTTCAAAATAACAGAATACCATGACCTCGCCTTGATGTTTGTGGGGTAAGGAAGTTACAGAAGCAGGATACACTACATCATTTGTGAAAATAAATTTCATACCCGACACCGTATTTGTAAATGCATACATACAAGTTCATACTAAACAAGGAAACTAACA